GCCCTGCATGGTGCCTTCTCATGCCCTGCCCGGTAAATTCTCATGCCCTGCATGGTGCCTTGGCATGCCCTGCCAGGTGCATTCGCATTCCCTGCATGGTGACTTTCATTTCCTGCCAGGTAAGGGGGTAAGGGGGTTTAGGGTGCTCCCCCCGCTCACTTGCCCTGCTCCCCCCGCTCACTTGCTCTGCTCCCCCACCCCAACTCCTCCCCTCCCCTTGCGCAGGTGCCAGTTTCTCCTGTCGCCAAGATGAAGATACTTTGCACAGGGAGCAGATGCGTTGCCAGCTGCTTGTGTGGCCGTCCCTGTTCATCCATGCGCGGGACATGAGAGAGAACAAGGGAGAGAAACAGAAGCAGGAGGAGGGAGCGCAGCGCCATGCCATGCCGCATGGCCCACCAAACCAGCCCCAGGTGCGTTGTGAGTCATTTGACCAATCCCCTCCTCTGTCCCCTTTGTTTTGAGTCATTTGACCAATCCCCTCCTCTCTCCTCTTTGTTTTGAGTCATTTGACCAATCCCCTCCTCTCTCCCCTCTGTTTTGAGTCATTTGACCGATCCCCTCCGCTCTCCTCTTGATTTTGAGTCATTTGACCAATCCCTTCCTCTCTTCCCCCTGTTTTGAGTCATTTGACCAATCCCCTACTCTCTCCCCTCTGTTTTGAGTCATTTGACCAATCTCCTCCTCTCTCCTCTTTGTTTTGAGTCATTTGACCAATCCCCTCCTCTCTTCCCCCTGTTTTGAGTCATTTGACCAATCCCCTACTCTCTCCTCTTTGTTTTGAGTCATTTGACAAATCCCCTCCTCTCTCCCCTCTGTTTTGAGTCATTTGACCAACGCCTCATCTCCCCTCCCCTCCCCTCTCCTCCCTCCCGCCCTCCCTCCCCGTGTTTCAGCAGCTGCCAGCGGGGCGTGACAGTGCAGCACGGGGCGGGGCAGGCTGACGCGCACGCCCACGTGGTATGAGCGAACCAGAACGATGCATGAATGTATGAACACAAAAGCAAAACAATGTACTAGGGCACATCAAAATCATGTGCCTTCTCATTCCCTCAAGGTGCCTTGCCGTTCCCTGCATGATGCCTTCTCATTCCTTGCATGATGCCATTTTCCTCCCCTTTCCAGCAGGTGCCAGTGCAAGGCATAATGTTTTGAGGTGTCACACTCAACACCTCCCCTCTGTCCTCCCGTTTCCAGCAGGTGCCAGTGCAGCGCATGTTGATTGAAGAGGTCTCAATCACCCCGTCCCCTCTTTCCATCCCAAAATTTCCTGTTTGTTTGTTTGTTTGTTTGTTTTAGTTTGTTTTGCTTGCTTGTTTGTTGTTCCTGTGTGCATTCTTTGCTCAAGGGGGGGGGAGTAAGGGGGCATGGGGAACTGTGAGACGTCCAAGCCACCCTCTCCCCCCCCCCTTTCTCCCAGCTGCCAGTGCAGCGCCTGCCCATTTGAGCTTGTCTCACCCACCCCCTCCCTTCTTTCCCCACTTTCCCCCTTCTGCCAGGTGCCTTCTCATGCCCTGCAAGGTGCCTTCGCATGTTGCACGGTGCCTTCTCATGCCCTGCATGGTGCCTGTTCATGCCCTGGCAGGTGCATTCGCATTCCCTGCATGGTAACTTTCATTTCCTGCCAGGTAAGGGGGTAAGGGGGTTTAGGGTGCTCCCCCCGCTCACTTGCCCTGCTCCCCTCCTCTCTCCCCTCTATTTTGAGTCATTTGACCAATCCCCTCTTCTCTCCCCTCTGTTTTGAGCCGTTTGACCAATCCCCTCCTCTCTCCTCTTTGTTTTGAGTCATTTGACCAATCCCCTCCTCTCTCCCCTTTGTTTTGAGTCATTTGACCAATCCCCTCCTCTCTCCTCTTTGTTTTGAGCCATTTGACCAATCCCCTCCTCTCTTCCCTCTGTTTTGAGTCATTTGACCAATTCCCTACTCCCTCCCCTCTGTTTTGAGTCCTTTGACCAATCCCCTCCTCTCTCCTCTGTTTTGAGTCATTCGACCAATCCCCTCCTCTCTCCTCTTTGTTTTGAGTCATTTAACCAATTCCCTCCTCTCTCCTCTTTGTTTTGAGTCATTTGACCAATCCCCTCCTCTCTCCCCTCGGTTTTGAGTCATTTGACCAATCCCTCATCTCCCCTCCCCTCCCCTCTCCTCCCTCCCTCCCCGTGTTTCAGCAGTTGCCAGCGGGGCGTGACAGTGGAGCACGGGGTGGGGCAGGCTGACGCGCACGCCCACGTGGTAAGAGCGAACCAGAACGATGCATGAATGTATGAACACAAAAGCAAAACAATGTACTAGGGCACATAAAAATCATGTGCCTTCTCATTCCCTCAAGGTGCCTTGCCGTTCCCTGCATGATGCCTTCTCATTCCTTGCATGATGCCATTTTCCTCCCCTTTCCAGCAGGTGCCAGTGCAAGGCATAATGTTTTGAGGTGTCACACTCAACACCTCCCCTCTGTCCTCCCGTTTCCAGCAGGTGCCAGTGCAGCGCATGTTGATTGAAGAGGTCTCACTCACCCCGTCCCCTCTTTCCATCCCAAAATTTCCTGTTTGTTTGTTTGTTTGTTTGTTTGTTTTAGTTTGTTTTGCTTGCTTGTTTGTTGTTCCTGTGTGCATTCTTTGCTCAAGGGGGGGGTGTAAGGGGGCATGGGGAACTGTGAGACGTCCAAGCCACCCTCTCCCCTCCCCTTTCTGCCAGCTGCCAGTGCAGCGCCTGCCCATTTGAGCCTGTCTCACCCACCCCCTCCCCTCTTTCCCCACTTTCCCCCTTCTTCCAGGTGCCTTCTCATGCCCTGCAAGGTGCCTTCGCGTGTTGCACGGTGCCTTCTCATGCCCTGCATGGTGCCTGTTCATGCCCTGGCAGGTGGATTTGCATTCCCTGCATGGTGACTTTCATTTCCTGCCAGGTAAGGGGGTAAGGGGGTTTAGGGTGCTCCCCCCGCTCACTTGCCCTGCTCCCCCCGCTCACTTGCTCTGCTCCCCCACCCCAACTCCTCCCCTCCCCTTGCGCAGGTGCCAGTTTCTCCTGTCGCCAAGATGAAGATACTTTGCACAGGGAGCAGATGCGTTGCCAGCTGCTTGTGTGGCCGTCCCTCATCATCCATGCGCGGGACATGAGAGAGAACAAAGGAGAGAAACAGAAGCAGGGGGAGGGAGCGCAGCGCCATGCCATGCCGCATGGCCCACCAAACCAGCATCAGGTGCGTTGTGAGTCGCCCCAGAGCATGCACTGCACACCTTGCCATATCCCTCACACCTGCCATCCCACCATGCCCTCACACCTCCTGCCATCCCCTCACTTGCCCTGCTCCCCCCGCTCACTTGCTCCGCTTCCCCTCTCCCCAACCCCAACTCCCCCCCTCCCCTTGCGCAGGTGCCAGCTTCCCTCCTGTCGCCAAGACGAAGACACTTGGCTTGCAATGTGTAGAGTGGTAGGGATTGATGAATCTGATTACGTTAGGAACATAAATGTATGTGCTTGTTAGTATATATGCAGGGGGAGGGGGGGAGTGCAGGTTTGGTTTGGGCCAGGTTTGGGATATGAAAGAGTGGCAGAAACGGAAACAGGGAGTAGATGCGTTGCCACCTGCTTGTGTTCAGCCATGCGCAGGGCATGACATGAGGGAGAAGAAGAGAGAGAAACAGACGCACAAGGAGGGAGCGCATGTGCCATTTTCTCCTGTCGACAACATGAGGCTATTTGCTACGACGCGTAGAGTGATAGATGACTTATAGATTTGATGACCTAGCGAATATGAATGTATGTGCTTGTTATTATATACGCAGGCGGGCAGAGAAAGGGGGGAGGGGCGAGGGAAAAGGGAGGGGAGTGGGGAGCAGAAGCAGAACAGAAGAGGGAGTGGTGGATGAGCTCCTGGCTCTCTGTGCTGTGCGCCCCTCCCTGGTTGGCCATGCCATGCCATGCCATGCCATGCCATGCCATGCCATGCCATGCCATGCCATGCCATGCCCGGGAGGGATATGATAGATAGGAAGCACAAAGTAGAAGCAGAAGCAGGAATGTGATATGACAGGGAGCAGATATGCATGGGCCATGCCCAGGGATGTCCAGGGCGGTTCGAGGGGGGCTGTGAGGGGCTGTGAGGAGAATTGGGGGGTAGGGGGGCCTTAGGGGGGCCTTGGGGGGGCTGTGGGGGGGTTTTTTCAGGATTTTAGGGGGGTTTTCTTCCCCTCTCTTGTACCCCATTTCTGCTTATTAACCAATCACAAGCAAGCTTTCTGCCATCACCTTTCCGATTACGCTCATGTTGTCGCCTTGCCGCCTGAGGAGGGGGAGGGGAGTAAGGGGGGAAGGGAGAGGAGAGCAGAAGGGAGAGCAAGGGGGGATGAGAGAGACGATATGCGCTGCTTGTTTTGATTTGCACACAGAAGGAGAGTGTGAGAAGGAGAGTGAGAGAAGGAGGGTGTGAGAAGGAGAGTGTGAGAAGGAGTGCCATACAGTGAAGTACTCGGGTATCTTGGGCACTGCAAAGCAGAAGCGTTGCAAGGAATGTGATCAAGATGATCCAGGTGGTCCGGGGCCCTCCTCCTGAAATACGTATGTCAAGATGTTGATCAGAGTGGGAGCCAGGGCAGTGTATGTAAGGGGTGGTGTATGTAGGGGTGGGGAGGGCAGGTGCAAACGTAGGGGATAATGAGTGACAGAAACTGAAGGGAGAGTGAGAATTGAATCAAAGAGGGGGAGAAAGAAGAAAACTGGCACAAGTTCACTACAGGTAGGCAGGATAAGTGACCAGCACAGGGGGGTGAAGTGACAAGGGCAGGGGGGTGAAGTGACAAGGGCAGGGGGGTGAAGTGACAAGGGCAGGGGGGTGAAGTGACAAGGGCAGGGGGGTGAAGTGACAAGGGCAGGGGGGTGAAGTGACAAGGGCAGGGGGGTGAAGTGATGAGACGTGCTTTCCTCACACCCACTGCCCCACACCCACTGCCCCACACCCACTGCCCCACACCCACTGCCCCACACCCACTGCCCCACACCCACTGCCTCACTCCCACTGCCCCACACCCACTGCCCCACACCCACTGCCCCACACCCACTGCCTCACACCCACTGCCCCACACCCACTGCCCCACACCCACTGCCCCACACCCACTGCCCCACACCCACTGCCCCACACCCACTGCCCCACACCCACTGCCCCACACCCACTGCCCCACACCCACTGCCCCACACCCACTACCCCACACCACCATGCCGCAGCACCGCCTCTGCCAACTCACACGGCGACACCCTTCCCTGCTCCCCCCCTGCCTCCCCTTTCTCCCCCTCCCCTCCCTGTCCCTCCTTCTCCGGTTCCTTCTCTCCTCCTCCTGTAACCTCTTCCTCCTGCTCTTTCTCCTGCTCCTTTTCCCCGGCCTTATCCCCCTCCTTCCCCTCCTTGTCTCCTTCACCCTTCTCCTCCTCCTTTTCCCCTTCCTCCGTCTTCCCCACCTCCTCCTTCTCACCCTCCTCCTCCTTCTCCTCTCCCTCCTCCAACTGCTTTCCTCCCTTCTCTCCCTTCCCCCCCTTCCTGGCATCCTCTCTAATCCTCACGAACAGCAGTGCCTTGCACCCAGACTCCACACTCACGAACCGAGGCTGAGGGACGTCAAGGGGCGGGCGAATGGTAGGGGCAAGGGGAGGGAGAAAGACGAGTGGAGGGAGAAAGACGAGCGGAGGGAGAGGAGACGTGATTGGAAATTGCACTGAGCATTCTCACGAACAGCAGCGCCTTGCACCCAGAGTCCACACTCGCGAACCAAGGCTGTGGGATGTCGAGGGGAGGGCGAACAGCAGGGGCAAGGGGAGGGAGAAAGACGAGCAGAGAAAGGGGAGTGAGAGGGAGAGGGAGGGGTGATGATGGATCCTCAGAAACAGCGGCGCCTTGCACCTAGACTCCACACTCACAAACCGAGGCTGAGAGGGAAGGGGAGGGACAAGACGAGGGACAAAGGAAAAAAAAAAACGTTTTTTCTCAAACAGCAGTGCCTTGCACCCAGACTCCACACTCACAAACCGAGGCTGAGGGATGTCAAGGGGCGGGCGAACAGGAGGGGCGAGGGGAGGGCAAACGGTAGGGGCAAGGGGAGGGAGAAAGACGATGGGAGAGAGAGGAGGAGCGATAAGGGTTTCCACTTAGCATTCTCGCAAACAGCGGCGTCTTGCAGCCAGCAAGAGTCCAAACAGCAGCGCCTTGCAGCCAGCGAGACTCCACACCCCGAAGTGAGACCAGGTGAGAGCGTTCAGTCAGGTGACTTTTGAGTCGACTCAAAAGTCACCAGGTGAGAGCGTTCAGGACAAGGGGAGGGACAAGACGAGGGGCAAGGGGAGGAAGAGGGAGGGAAAAGAGGATTGCGAGAGAGGGAAGTGATGGGTGTTTGTGCTGGGCATTTATGCGAACAGCAGCGCCTTGCACCCAGACTACACACTCATGAACCGAGGCTGAGGGCCATGCACAAGGAAGGGAGGGAGAAGAGAAAGGAGGGAACAAGGAGGCGAGGATGCACAAGGGGAACAAAACAGGGGCACCTGGTAGCCTGAGACGTCTCAAAACAGGGGCACCTGGTAGCCTGAGACGTCTCAAAACAGGGGCACCTGGTAGCCTGAGACGTCTCAAAACAGGGGCACCTGGTAGCCTGAGACGTCTCAAAACAGGGGCACCTGGTAGCCTGAGGTCACGATTGCAATCGAGCCTGGGGGACACAGGGAGAGGGAGGGATACGAGGGGAGGGAGTGGGAGGGAGATAAGGGGAGGGTGAAGGAACAACAAGGGGAAAGGAGGGAAAAGGCACCCACCTACCCATCCCACGCACCTGTGAGCCGCTGCAAAACACACACACCTGTTTCCTCAACCCCCTCTCCACACGCACGCACCTGTTTCTTGAGTGCTGCCACTTCATTCGCCAGCAGCGCATCGATGGACGAACCCCCCTTCGCCTTCCCTGCAGATGCACCTTCCCCAGTCCGTGCCTCCCCCTCCCCCTCCCCCTGCGCCTTGCCAGCCTCCAGCTTGTCACACCACTGTGTGTGGGGCAAACAGGGATAAAGCAACATCATCTCAGTCAGATAAGCCCTCCCCAGCCACCTTCCCCAGTGCTTGCCTCCCCCTCAGCCCGCACCTTCATGGGCACCAGATTGTCGCTCAACGGTGTGTGGGGCAAGCAGTGGAGATGGAAGGAGTAGGAACAACATCAGCTCAGTTAGAAAAGCCCTCCCCAGCCACCTTCCCCAGTGCTTGCCTCACCCTACCCGTTCCTCTGCGCCTTGCTGCCTCCAGCTTGTCACACCACTGTGTGTGGGGCGAACAGAGGAGAAAGCAACATCAGCTCAGTCAGATAAGCCCTCCCCAGCCACCTTCCCCAGTGCTTGCCTCCCCCTCAGCCCGGGCCTTCACGGGCACCAGCTTGCCGCCGCACAACGGCGTGTGGGGCAAGCAGGGGAGATGGAAGGAAGAAAAGCAAAAACAGCTCAGTCAGATAGGCCCTCCACAACCACTTTCCCCAGTGCTTGCCCAGTCATCTATCTACCTACCCTCCAGGTTCTATCGTTTGCCTGTGCGCTCCACTCACCTCCTTGCCACCTCACCTCATCAAGCTGATCCCCTGTGCATGTCACCTCACAAGCTGATCTCCTGATCACCTCTTACCACCCCCCCCACCCCTCCTCTCCCTCACTGTGTGCTCGTGCCTCACCTCATCGAGCACGTTCACAATCTCCCGCCCGCACTCTCTCTCCCTGCCGGTCGCACTCGACACCAGCCACCCCCTGCTGCCATTCGCGATAGGGCCCGCTCCCCCTCCACTCTGAGGCGCACGAGAGGGAGGCGCCGAAGAGGGAAGGAGGAGGATCAAAGGAACAATTTACTTTGTTTCGACTCCAACAACAACAAGCCCGCACTCTCTCTCCCTGCTGGTCACACTCCACACCAGCCACCCCCTGTTGCCATTCGCGATGGGGCCCGCTCCCCCTCCACTCTGAGGCGCACGAGAGGGAGGAGCAGAAGGGGGAGGGGCACGAGGGGGAGGGGCGGAGCAGAAGGAGCAGAGGGGGGAGGAGCAGAAGACGGAGGAGCAGAGGGGGGAGGAGAAGAATGGGGAGGAGGAGAAGGGGGAGGAGGAGAAATGAGGGAGGGGAGAAGGGTGAGGAGGAACAGCAGGTGGGGGCACAGAAGGGAGAGGAGGAGAGGAGCAGAAGGGGGGGGAGCAGAAGTAAGAAACGGTTGCAAACCACCTCCAATCCCTCCCCCTGCCAGCCCCCTTGCTGCCATACATTCTGGGCGCCGCCTTCTCCCCATTCTGGATCATAGGGTTTAGGGTGAAGGAGCAAAGGAAGAAACAATCGATCCTTCACCTGCACTCTCGCTCCCTGCCTGCTGCTGCCCGCCGCCACTTCGAAAGAGGAGATCGAGGTTGGGGTTTTGGGTGCATGGGAGAGAGCGAGCAACAACAAAGGGTTTCGGGTTTTGGGTGCATGGGAGAGAGCGAGCAACAACCAAGAGTTTCGGGTTTTGGTTGCATGGCAACGGAGATTCGTGGGCCGGGATGTGGGAGGGAAGAGAGACGGCGGGGGTGGGGGGAGGGGAAGGGGGACAGCAGGGGTGGGGGGAGGGGAAGGGGGACAGCGGGCGACACGGGCCGGACGGGTGAGGACCAGAGGAGAGAGGCGACGGGGGGAAAATCCGCTCTGTGTAAGACCAAGTGCTTAAAGCGATATCAGGACCAGAGGGGAGAGGCGACAGCGGAAAAATCTGCTCTGTGTAAACCTAAGTGATCAAGGCGATCTGAGGACCAGAGGGGAGAGGCGGCGCCGTGGGAGCACACGATGGGAGGAGGAGAAGAGAAGGGGGGAGGGAAGACGGAGGTGTGTGCGCGAGCGGGAGGAGAGGGCACGAAAGGAAAGGGGGGGAAGGGGTTGAAGAGGAAGGGCGGGAAGTGGGGCGGATCGGGCTGGTGAGCGCACGCCGCCGCGGAGATCACAGCGGCGACGCCGCCAAGATCATAGCAGCGGCGACGCGCAACGGATGCTGCCGCGACTCGCGACCGAAACGCGACTGAACGCGCCTGCAGAATTGTCGCTGATTATCGTCGTTATTCGTCTGTCAGCCAAGAAAAACATTGGTACACGCCTGCCGGCGGTTTATGTTGACTAATGCGTCGCGACATAAGTTTAAAGGCTCACAGCGTTCAGGTATCGCGACTTGTGCCGCTTCGATTTCCCCCGACCTCCATTACCGCTCCGATTGCCCTCCGCCTCGCGCTTTCCGCGACCCATGTGCGATTGTATGGCCGTGGCTACTGATCAAACGAGAGAAACGCTCAATGGCTGATTTGCATATCAACACAAAGTACACAACCAAACACAATCGCAGTCAGGACCAGTAGCACAAACCTTCCAATCATTGTTTGATCAGCGGGCTCAATACCCGCCTGGACCTTTTGTTTTATCCACCTCTCAAGGCTCCGTTTCCATTCAAATCTTATCTAAAGGTGTTTTCTTACTGCTCTGGGGCATTCTTCTTTCATATCATACTCGTCGTCGCATCCCTTCTTGTTGTAAGCCTCAGCCATCTTGACTGGTTTTTTCCGGACGTGCTTGTCGTCTACACCTTCATTGTGTTGCTTCGTTGGTGTAGAAGATTTTTCTTTACTGGCACACCTCGACCACCACACTGGCACGCCCCATGCCCTGTCACCTCACCCATGTGCTCTACAGTAGGGCTACTGGCGTCACGCCCCACCACCAGCACCAGGCTATCAACAGCGAGTCCAGCACCCACACACCCCGTGCCCTGCTCTGCTGCACCACTCACCTGCTCTGCCGCACCACTCACCTGCTCTGCTGCACCACTCACCTGCTCTGCTGCACCACTCACCTGCTCTGCTGCACCACTCACCTGCTCTGCCGCACCACTCACCTGCTCTGCTGCACCACTCACCTGCTCTGCTGCACCACTCACCTGCTCTGCTGCACCACTCACCTGCTCTGCTGCACCACTCACCTGCTCTGCCGCACCACTCACCTGCTCTGCCGCACCACTCACCTGCTCTGCCGCACCACTCACCTGCTCTGCTGCACCACTCACCTGCTCTGCCGCACCACTCACCTGCTCTGCCGCACCACTCACCTGCTCTGCCGCACCACTCACCTGCTCTGCTGCACCACTCACCTGCTCTGCTGCACCACTCACCTGCTCTGCTGCACCACTGACCTGCTCTGCTGCACCACTCACCTGCTCTGCCGCACCACTCACCTGCTCTGCCGCACCACTCACCTGCTCTGCCGCACCACTCACCTGCTCTGCCGCACCACTCACCTGCTCTGCCGCACCACTCACCTGCTCTGCCGCACCACTCACCTGCTCTGCCGCACCACTCACCTGCTCTGCCGCACCACTCACCTGCTCTGCCGCACCACTCACCTGCTCTGCTGCACCACTCACCTGCTCTGCCGCACCACTCAGCTGCTCTGCTGCACCACTCACCTGCTCTGCCGCACCACTCACCTGCTCTGCCGCACCACTCACCTGCTCTGCCGCACCACTCACCTGCTCTGCCGCACCACTCACCTGCTCTGCTGCACCACTGACCTGCTCTGCCGCACCACTCACCTGCTCTGCCGCACCACCCACCTGCTCTGCCGCACCACTCACCTGCTCTGCCGCACCACTCACCTGCTCTGCCGCACCACTCACCTGCTCTGCTGCACCACTCACCTGCTCTGCCGCACCACTCACCTGCTCTGCCGCACCACTCACCTGCTCTGCTGCACCACTCACCTGCTCTGCCGCACCACTCACCTGCTCTGCCGCACCACTCACCTGCTCTGCCGCACCACTCACCTGCTCTGCTGCACCACTCACCTGCTCTGCCGCACCACTCATCTGCTCTGCTGCACCACTCACCTGCTCTGCCGCACCACTCACCTGCTCTGCCGCACCACTCACCTGCTCTGCCGCACCACTCACCTGCTCTGCCGCACCACTCACCTGCTCTGCCGCACCACTCACCTGCTCTGCCGCACCACTCACCTGCTCTGCCGCACCACTCACCTGCTCTGCCGCACCACTCACCTGCTCTGCCGCACCACTCACCTGCTCTGCCGCAACCACTCACCTGCTCTGCCGCACACTCACCTGCTCTGCCGCACCACTCACCTGCTCTGCCGCACCACTCACCTGCTCTGCCGCACCACTCACCTGCTCTGCCGCACCACTCACCTGCTCTGCCGCACCACTCACCTGCTCTGCCGCACCACTCACCTGCTCTGCCGCACCACTCACCTGCTCTGCCGCACCACTCACCTGCTCTGCCGCACCACTCACCTGCTCTGCCGCACCACTCACCTGCTCTGCCGCACCACTCACCTGCTCTGCCGCACCACTCACCTGCTCTGCCGCACCACTCACCTGCTCTGCCGCACCACTCACCTGCTCTGCCGCACCACTCACCTGCTCTGCCGCACCACTCACCTGCTCTGCCGCACCACTCACCTGCTCTGCCGCACCACTCACCTGCTCTGCCGCACCACTCACCTGCTCTGCCGCACCACTCACCTGCTCTGCCGCACCACTCACCTGCTCTGCCGCACCACTCACCTGCTCTGCCGCACCACTCACCTGCTCTGCCGCACCACTCACCTGCTCTGCCGCACCACTCACCTGCTCTGCCGCACCACTCACCTGCTCTGCCGCACCACTCACCTGCTCTGCCGCACCACTCACCTGCTCTGCCGCACCACTCACCTGCTCTGCCGCACCACTCACCTGCTCTGCCGCACCACTCACCTGCTCTGCCGCACCACTCACCTGCTCTGCCGCACCACTCACCTGCTCTGCCGCACCACTCACCTGCTCTGCCGCACCACTCACCTGCTCTGCCGCACCACTCACCTGCTCTGCCGCACCACTCACCTGCTCTGCCGCACCACTCACCTGCTCTGCTGCACCACTCACCTGCTCTGCCGCACCACTCACCTGCTCTGCCGCACCACTCACCTGCTCTGCTGCACCACTCACCTGCTCTGCTGCACCACTCACCTGCTCTCGGGCATCTCTGCACCCCCTAAACCTCCTTAACAACTGAGGCTCAACACCCTTTCTCTTCCTTGCACCTCCATCACTCCCTCTATGTCGCTCGCTGCCCTTCGTGTCTCTCTCTTTCTATCCCAGCCCAATGGTGGAAGTGAAGCTTGTCCCGGTCAGCATCCAACCAATCAATCTGTTGGCGTAACCACGGTGCTGAATGGCGAAATTCGGTCACACTTGACGATCAGTCGAGCAAGAGCGATTGTCCCCGGCGAGACGATATCAACGGCTCTCTTTGCGCGGGCAAAGAAAAAGGTCGGTCGTACGAGTGCGTACGCGTTGGTGCATGTACGGTTATGTACATATGCGTCGCGTACGAGTGTGTACGGTAGGTAGACGCACTACGTGCATGAAGGCATACGTACGCATGCATACGTATGTCTACGCGCATCTAGGTTAAACAGGTAGGTACCAGACATGCGAGTATTCATGCGTATACGCATGCAGATGCGCACGTTCCTTAATATTCAGCTCATTATTCCAGAGCTAATTTGTCATTGATTTGTTGACCTACATGCATAAGCTCCAGATTACACAAATAGATTTGTCAACTAACATGTGTAGCTTGTAAATCAGCAAAATCAATTCTGTTTACTGCCATGTGGAAAGCTGTAGTTTTGCAAGATACTGTTTTGCTGTTCTCGTTTTGGGCACAGCTGACGAGCGAAACCTATTCGCGCTGCGAATTTGTCACTGTAAATGCTGGCACATTCACTTTGGGTCGCGCTCGCTGTATCGGAGTGTCGGACTGCATATACGCAGGGCACCCAAACCGACTTTCCGACTTTGTCACTGCGCTGCCGACGTAGCACTGTGCAGAACGCTACTTCAGTACATCCACTTTGCACCACGAACCCACGTTCGTTCAGGGGGACCAAGCAAGCCAGAAGGTGCACGAAACGTGATGTGAGTGGGCTGGGCTCACAATCGCTCACCTAACTCCCACTCCCGTTTTTCAGACCTCGATTCTTATCATCCGCCACTCTATCTCAACTCAACATCCGAGCCTCTCTTCTAGATCGCCCTCCGCCATGGGGCATGGCATCACCATTTCGTAAGCCTGCTTTCTTAGTCGCAGTCACGCTATCGTAGTTTAGTTTTTCGTGATTTCGTTTGCTATTTTTTTTTTTTCCAGATCTCGTTTCAATCTCAAGCCATTCTACTCAAGAGCGCAGCCTCTCTTTTGGATCGCCATCCGCCATGGGCCATGGCATTAGTATTTCGTAAGCCCGCTTTCTTACTCACGCTATCTTCAGTCTTGTTTCCAGTAATTTCGTTTTCTTCGTAGATTCCCTCTTCTTAGCTCCGTTTGTTCCGATTTCTGCTTGTCCTTGTTCGTGCTGACGTGTGCATGGTCATGGCAGGCACGCTGCAGCCAGCACAAGCTCGTCATCTGCCGTTCCAGGAGCCAGCAGCAATGCGGCATTCCACATCCAAAATCTGCCACCAAACATGGCGATTTCCGTTTAGCTCTGCTTCAGGGCGCCGATGCCACGCCGCTGTCACGCCGATTGCCATGCCGCTGACACGCCAACGACAACGACGGCGCTGCTCATGGCGCTCTGGAGAACGTTGAGACATCCAGGCCACCCTCTCCCCTCCCCTTTCTGCCAGGTACCAGTGCAGCGCTTGCCCATTTGAGCATGTCTCACCCACCCCCTCCCCTCTTTCCCCACTTCCCCCCTTCTGCCAGGTGCCTTCCCATGCCCTGCATGGTGCCTTCTCATGCCCTGCCCGGTAAATTCTCATGCCCTGCATGGTGCCTTGGCATGCCCTGCCAGGTGCATTCGCATTCCCTGCATGGTGAATTTCATTTCCTGCCAGGTAAGGGGGTAAGGGGGTTTAGGGTGCTCCCCCCGCTCACTTGCCCTGCTCCCCCCGCTCACTTGCTCTGCTCCCCCACCCCAACTCCTCCCCTCCCCTTGCGCAGGTGCCAGTTTCTCCTGTCGCCAAGATGAAGATACTTTGCACAGGGAGCAGCTGCGTTGCCAGCTGCTTGTGTGGCCGTCCCTGTTCATCCATGCGCGGGACATGAGAGAGAACAAGGGAGAGAAACAGAAGCAGGAGGAGGGAGCGCAGCGCCATGCCATGCCGCATGGCCCACCAAACCAGCCCCGGGTGCGTTGTGAGTTATTTGACCAATCCCCTCCTCTGTCCCCTTTGTTTTGAGTCATTTGACCAATCCCCTCCTCTCTCCTCTTTGTTTTGAGCCATTTGACCAATCCCCTCCTCTCTCCCCTCTGTTTTGAGTCATTGACCAATCCCCTCCTCTCTCCTTTTGGTTTTGAGTCATTTGACCAATCCCCTCCTCTCTTCCCCCTGTTTTGAGTCATTTGACCAATCCCCTACTCTCTCCCCTCTGTTTTGAGTCATTTGACCAATCCCCTCCTCTCTCCTCTTTGTTTTGAGTCATTTGACCAATCCCCTCCTCTCTTCCCCCTGTTTTGAGTCATTTGACCAATCCCCTACTCTCTCCCCTCTGTTTTGAGTCATTTGACCAATCCCCTCATCTCTCCTATTCGTTTTGAGTCATTTAACCAATTCCCTCCTCTCTCCTCTTTGTTTCGAGTCATTTCACCAATCCCCTCCTCTCTCTCCTCTTTGTTTTGAGTCATTTGACCAATCCCCTCCTCTCTCCCCTCAGTTTTGAGTCATTTCACCAATCCCCTCCTCTCTCCTCTCTGTTTTGAGTCATTTGACCAATCCCCTCCTCTCTCCTCTTTGTTTTGAGTCATTTGACCAATCCCCTCCTCTGTCCTCTCTGTTTTTGTTGGTGTTAGGCCCCAATCTCACATTTTGTACTTGTACTTTTATATCCTAGTTTAGTGTAGTTTGCACTTTGTGTTTGGTTGGGTGTACACCCACATCCCAACCAAACCCAAATGTAATCTCCAAGCAATCTCCAACCCACCAATTGGAGATTGCCTTGGGATTACCCTTGATTCCCTAGGATTGCCTCCTGATTCCCTCCTCATCCCTACCTTGCTCATTCCGGATGTACTTAAAGAGCTTTGAGCTCACTACTATAGTATCGATTCTAAGCTCAAGTTCTGACATGGTAATCAGAGCAGCTCAACCGCATACGCGGATCGTGATCCTCTCATCTCTGCGGATACTTGTCCCGCAAACCTCGGGGAAGCCATCGCCAATCTCGTCGCCGTTGATTCGCGACATTCATCGGCGGAATTTCTCCCGCCAAATCTTCCCGTCACCATCGACGGAAACTTCTCTGGTAAGCGCATCGTCGGCGCTCTAACCTAACACTCGTTTTCATCAATTCGTCACTTCTTCTCCTCGACGGGCTGCCGCCCGTCGCCCTGCAGCTTCTCGTCGGGCCGCCGCCCGTCGCCCCGCAGCGTCATCTTCGGGCTGCCGCCCGTCGCCCCGCATCTGCACTCCTACCCCCATCCCCCCTCTTTCCCGCAGCTGAACAGGTGCAGCAACGCAGCCGAGCAGCAGCGTAGCCGCGAAGCAGAGGGTGGTGTGTGGGGGGGTGTGTGGGAATAGGACTAGTAGGTAGTTGACACTAAATTGGCGTCTCAGTCAAATTCTCCTTCGTAAACCCTAAACCTCCGGTTCTTCAAAATCTCCTTTGGAAACCCCAAACCTCAAGTTCCTATTGGTGACTTAAGAGCGGCGCTCCGCGCGAGAAGTTAAGGGGTCTCCACCATGGCTTTCTCGTCTTCCACCATGGCGAACCCCATCACCCCGCTCCGCCTTGAAGCCGATGGCTCTAGCTCCAACTTCAAGGCGTGGAGCTACGGAGTTGACAAGCACCTCCTGAGCCGTGACGTGCAGGGCCTTGACCTCAAGGACGTCCTCCTCAACCGTGGCAAGGGGAAACAGCCCACTCTTCCCCGTGAACCGACCGAATCTTCAAGTGATGCTGACGTGATGACGTACGAAGAAGCTGTTGAGAAGTACCGGAAGTGGGAGAAGGCCGATGCTGCCATCATCAGCGTCTTCATTGCCTCCACCCCTCCCGAACTTGTCAACACGTTCCACAACTACCCTACCTCCAACGCCATCTGGAAGTATCTCCAGGATCGGTTCATGAACAAGACGGCGGTCGGAGTGGCGATTCTCATCCCCAGCATGTTTCAAGTCCGCCTTGAGGACTGCTCAGGAATGGCTGATTACATCGCCAAGGTGCAGACCATTCATGGTGAACTCAAGGAGCTGGGTATAGTCTTCCCCGAACAAGCCCCTGCAGCCGCCCTTCTTGTTGGTCTCTCCTCGGCATATGAAGTGACGAGGAAGATGCTCCTCACGCTCTCAGCGGAAGACCTCACCTTTGCTAAGGTCTCCACCGCACTCCTCTCTGCCGAGAAAGACTCCACTGCTCAGGCCAAGGCATACGCCATCCGTGCTCCCATGCCCCTAGCAAGTGTTGCAGCAGCCCTTGCCTCGGCGCCTTTCCAGCGCAACCGCTTTCCTCCGTGCACCTACGTCGTCAAGTATGGCAACCGCAAGGGACAAGTGTGTGGTGGCACTAACCACCCCCTTGCCACGTGCTTCAAGAAGAAAGACGACGAGTGGTATGCCATCCACGGGGTTGACAAGAAGCCGCCAAACTGGATGCGCGCTCGTAAGGCCAATCTCGTTGAGGTCCAGGACCCCTCTTCGGCTAGTGCTAGTGACAGTGCTCCTGTTGATGTGCGTATCAACCTGTTGTTTCCTGGCACTGCCATGATTAATGAAGCCACTTCCCAGTACATCGACTCATCACAGGCACCACAGTACATAGAGTTCACACTCGACAGTGGGGCCACTCACACTGTGCTCAAGGAGACACTCTCCTTCAAACCCTATCCAGCACCTATCCCTCTCTTGGGAGCTGACTCCAGCTTCACCACCCTAGCCAAGGGCACCTCCACAGTCCCATGCCCAGCCTTCCCTTCCGGCACCGTCACTGGCATGTGCGTGCCTTCACTACGCCACAATCTAGTGGCTCAAACAGAAATTCAGAAAGCAGGGCTACGCACCATCTTCTCGGAGAATGAGGACCACTGCGACATCATTGACCCACTCACCAACAAGGTCTTGGCCCGCTTCACCCTCAATAGCAGCGGCCTCTACACGCTACGCGTTCCTCTCCCACAGGTTTCAACCACCCAAGCACAGGCTCCCATCACACCATGCACATGTCGCAGCCTCTCCAACCCGACCATCCTCTATCATCATCGGTTAGGGCACCCAAACTTCCGCACGCTTGCTGACATGGCCTCCAAGAAACTTCTTCTCGGCCTGCCAGCCACACTTCCTCCACCACCTGACTCACCCGCTCCCACGTGCCTTGATTGCACCAAGAGCAAACTGCGCCAACAGCCCCACACTGCCTCACCCACAATCGCAGCGGCACCACTGGACCTAGTGCACATGGACGTCTGGGGCCCTGCCCCTGTTCTTGCACGAGGTGGATATCGCTACTTCCTAGTTATCGTGGATGACCACTCACGATACGTCTCTGTTCACCTCCTCCACACTAAGGCTGAGGCTCCAGAGGTCATCATGGCGTGGGTCAAGCAGGCACAGACCACCTTTGACCTCAAGGTCAAGCGCCTTCACTCGGATGGGGGGGGTGAATTTTGCAACGACAAGCTTAAAGCCTTCTGCTCCTCCGAAGGCATCCAGCAAAACTTCACCCTCCCTGACAGCCCTCAACAGAACGGCATAGCTGAGAGCCGCAACCACACTCTAGTGCAGATCACTCGGTGCCTCCTCAGCCACTCCAACGCTCCACACTCTCTCTGGGGATACGCTCTCTACCACGCCGCCCTCCTCTACAACCTTTACCCCCATCCGCACCTTCCCCACACTGGTGCATGAACCTCAAGGCACTCGTGTCACAGAGTAGAGACAAGGGCCCCTCTTACCACTATATGCGCCAGTGCGGTTACCAACATTCACACCAGTGCAGTTGCCAACATTCGCACCAGTGTGGTTACCAACAGTCACACCAGTTTGGTTACCACCACCGGTGTGGTGACCACTATATGCACCAGTGCAGTTACCAACATGCACCAGTGCAGTTACCACCAACATGCACCGGTGCAGTTACCACCAACATGCACCAGTGCAGTTACCACCAACACGCACCGGTGCAGTTACCACCAACATGCACCGGTGCAGTTACCACCAACATGCACCAGTGCAGTTACCACCAACATGCACCGGTGACACAGCAGGGTGGGGAGGGCTTACCATCTCAAAAATCCCTATTGATTATACATACCTTTTACATACCTTTTCTATACTCCTTGGTATGTATTTAGTAGGGGTGATTAGGCCTACTATAAAGTAGAAGTTGTCGTACCTTTTTAGTAGGGTCCATTTCCATACGAAAAGGACTAGCTATTTAGTTAGTAAATGTTCCTCATTTACATGTCACTTATATTACATTTGCTGTCCCAACATCATGAAACTGCCTCCCGGTAGTCATGCATTTTCTGTTAAAAAAACATACATTTGCCTGACCAATTGTATGGAATCTGTGCAAATTTGGGGCTCCAATTTCTTGCTGAAAGTGACCCAGATGTTTGTATCCCGAATGTAACCATCTGTCCATTTCCCAATTATATATAATACATAAGCTATATAATACAACAGATCCCAGCATGGCACCAACTCGGCCGCCCACATCATCCACGTCTACACACTATCCTCCGCATCCTCCCACTCACCCACATCATCCAGGAGATCACGCTCCATGGTGGCATCACTGTTGTTGGAACCCGTCTTCTTCTTCTTGCCTTTCTCGGGCTCCACCTGGGCATACTCGAACAGGAGAGCAACCGCCTTCTTCTCGGCGGCATCGGGGTCAGCCCCATCGGGAACGAGGTCGGGGAAGCCGCTGCCCGAGATCACCACAGTCTCGGTGGGTCCAAACACCCACCCCTGATACTGCTCCGACCATGCAGGAAGCTGGTCATCCGGGGACTCCTCGAGGGTCTTGCGAATGGCCGCCTTCACCTTGCGGTGGTAGCAGGCAATGTCAGCTGCATTCACATCCGCATCCGTAGGAATGCGTTTGCCACGAGCCTTGTGGTGCACCACGGAATATTCAACCTGTTACAACGGGGGAGTGCAGATTAAAGGGGAAAGGTAGTGTTGGTTAGGCAAACTGGACATGGCAGGCAGGTGGGAGGTGATAGAGCACAAAAGGCATGCGATGACACCTCCACTCCACGTTCCTGAGGGGTGGTGAGCAGGGAAAGGGATGGGCAGCATTAGGCAGAGTGCAAGTGCACCGAGCAACAAGACAGGCACAAAACTGAGCCCCTCTATGCTCTTGCCAGCATAAGGGGTGGTTGGAGTGGAGAGGGGCAACATGGGAGAACGGTTGATGCATGAAGTATGGAGTGCAACACGCTGGGCATGGAATCAACGCCCTACAAGCTTCTGCCAGTGTGGCAGGAAATGGGCAGGGTGGCATGGGAAACAGGGAAGGGGGAAAAATGGGGAGAAGGAGAAAGAGGGGAGATTAGGGGATGGCGGAGGAGGCAGGGAGGGGCGGGTGGGGTTATTTAATGGTGCCGCTCATCACTGCGAGCTGCAGGCTGCCTCCTGACTCGCCCAGTGAGAACTCAAAGGGGGACTGCCCGTACCTGGGGTTCGGGAAAGGAGAAAAAAGGCGGGAGGGAATGGGGAGAAAGGGCCGGGGAAAGAGTGCAGGAAGCAAGGGTTGGGGTGGGGGAGGGGGAAAAAAGGGGAGAAGGAGAAAAAGGGGAGATTAAGGGATGGCGGAGGAGGCAGGGAGCGGCGGGTGGGGCCATTTAATGGTGCCGCCCATCACTGCGAGCTGCACCATGCCTCCTGACTCGCCTAGGGAGAACTCGAAACGGGACTGCCCGTACCTGGGGTTCGGGAAAGGAGAAGAAAAAAGGCGGGAGGGAATGGGGAGAAAGGGCCGGGGAAAGAGTGCAGGAAGCAAGGGTAGGGGTGGGGGAGGGGGGAAAATGGGGAGAAGGAGAAAAGAGGGGAGATTAGGGGATGGAAAGGAGGAGGCGGAGAGCGGCGGGTGCGGCCATTTGATGGTGCCGCTCATCACTGCGAGCTGCAGGCTCCCTCCTGACTCGCCCAGTGAGAACTCAAAGGGGGACTGCCCGTACCTGGGGTTCAGTAAAGATGAGGAAAAAATGAAATGGGAAAAAGGGGAGGGGAGGGGGAGAGGTAAGGGACAAGAAGCGGCAGGGAGGGGCGGGTGGGGCCATTTGATGGTGCGATTGGTTGGCGGGAGGGTCGGAGGGAAGATGGTTGGAGGGAAGATGGGGCGACCAACTGGCTATGCAAGGCAATCTTCAAGCAACCAATCTTACAGCTACAATTCAACACAAGAAACAAAGTGCTCGCACATGTGCAAACGTAAAAAATCACACTCATACGTACCAGATACAGCAGATAGGCGATGTGGTACGCCTTCACCACCGTAGCCGACCCGCCAGCACCCTTCTGAAATGCGTTGCGGACGATGATGTCGAAGAGCGCAGTGCCAAACGGGCGCATCGTGCCTTCAGCAAAGTGCCAGATAAGAAGCCCTCCCTTTTCTGCTCAGCACATAGATATATAAACAATGGAAACAGACATTGCAGTCATACGTTATATGGAAAGGTGGGTACTTGCATAACCAAGGGTATGCCAAGAACATAAGACGTATACAGCACCATGCGTAACAACTGTGGTTACCAATGCTCACGTACTGCACTTACCAAGAGGCTTGACCAGTGGTATCCCACCCTTGCTCTCCAAGTTGTATACTTGGGTCGGTGTGCGCTCCTCATCACAAATCAGCTCGCTGTAATCGAACTTCAGGCGGGGATTCGCTTCGCAAACTAGCCCATAGGCGTCAGCAAAATTCCGGCGCCCATTCATCGAGATCCGCGCACGCCAATCACTCTGCTTGCGCGTTGAAGCGCCTGCCCGCGCCACGCAGTACGTCATGACTGCTACTAGCGCGGCAGCCTTGCTCTCGCCCCAAACACCGATGAGGCACCGCATCACCACGCTTTCTGACGGGTACACGCTCGTAACGTCGTCCGGTTGGCGAAAGAACGCCACAACCACAGCAAGCTCCATTTTTTTCTGGTACATGGGAATGCGGAAAAGAATAGGGAGATTTGGAAACTTGGAAACGTGGCAAATCAGCATGCGAGAAGAACAAGTCGACTCAAAACAGAACAAGGCCAGAAAAGGAGGGGCGTGAGGAAAGGGTGAAGAGGGGATGAGCAAACAGCAATGCCCCTTAGCCATAACCCACACAAACATAACCCACCAACCCCCATTCCACACTTTCGATATGGCACTTACGTTCCATGCCTTGCCATAGGAAGGCAACTGGCGCATGAGGATCTGGTCCCTCAACGGGATACCGCTGAGTGACGTGTGCAGGACTACGTCGCACACGTTACCGTTGTTCTTCATCGTTGGATACTTCCGCTTCCGCGGCACAGCAGGGGAAGCACGGTTGGATGTCGGGCGCTGCAGCATTTCGCGTTCGGGTGTGGCGACATGAGCTTGCTGCGACGTTGGTGCTGATCGCGGCGTTCCATTGGTGCTTGGAGACCCCGAGGCATGACCCACCGCACCCCTCTCCAGGGAGCAGGACCCGTTGTTAAGTTGCAACAAAAGCGACGAAATCAGCTGTGACTGCTGCTGCGTGGTTCGCTCCAACTCAGCAAGCCGCCCGTTAGCAGCCTGGTCAGATGCCGCGGCAACACCCTCCAGGGGGCTCCCAGCAGGACTTTGAGAGGGAAGCGACGCCCCATCACGCTCGGTGATGTTGTTCAGCGTGTCCTGTCGCCCGTCCCCTGCGGCACAGGAAATGAGCGTTACGGTTAAAACTGGGATACAAGCACAAGAGAAGATCTGGAATACAAGCACAACACAAGTTCCAAAGAACAGGGCAAGAAAAATTCAAGAGCTCTTACCTTGCTTTTCCGTCTGCAGCTTCGTGCGTTCCTCTTCCTCATCATGCTCCTCATCACTGAAGTCGTCAGCATGGACTTGAACCCCCAAGGGAGCGGCATCACCAGCACCGCTAGACGGGTCAGCTGCGGCAGCAGAGGCGTTGTCAATGCCGGTGTTGCCCGCAACATCGTCGACATCATCGTTGTCATCGACGTGCTCAGAAGCGCCATCCTTGCGCGCTTTCGTGATCAGTCGGCCGCCAACAGCCTTGCGCTTCTTGACACCGCCACTCAAGCGGGTACCAAGACCCCCAGCTCCCTGCATCTTCGGGGTCAGCTTGATGGGGCGCTTGCCTGTCACCTCGCTCCGGACAGCAAGGACAGTAGCCATAGTTCTGGAGGTGGTGAAGACCGTACCGAGGAAGATAGGAACTAGGAGACGGATGAATATGATAATAATGCCCAGCAAGTTGTGACTTAAGTAGTAGTTAAGCTGGGCGATTAGATTGAAGCTCCTACAAGCGCAGTTGATTGGCGCCAAAGGGCAGGTGAGCACTACATTTGGGCAGGTGAAATGCATGGTTGGGCAGGTGATCGGCGGCGCTTGGCAGGTGTATTGATGTTCTGCTGGCAGGTGATTGAGAGCCTAGGCAGCTGAAAACGCCACCTGCTACGAGCACTGCTATCTGTTGAGAAAGTCTGGGCATGGAATAGGTTCGACATCTTGTCAATATACGAGCTAATCACAATTCAGAGAAACGTCTGGTTTGTAAGCCTCCAGTGTTGGCGCCAAATGTAAACTACAGTTTGGCGCGAGAGCTTCAGGAGGAGCTGGGAAGTGAGGAAACAAAGCCAAGTCCTCCTCCGTGCTCTAACTATCAGAAGAGGCGATTGTTTGAGTGTTTGAATTGCCATAGTTTGAACATTCGAATGAAGAAGACGATGTATGGTCCGCACGATCAGTTGGCAACAACAAATCGTAACCGTCTAAGCTAGTCAAGGTGGGAAAGGAGCAGTTACGAGGCTACGAGGATGATCTGTGGGGAAGTGTAAGGGCGGGGTGTATCAAGGGATGTGCAATTTTGCAGTCGCGATCCCCAAGCACCAATGGATGCGGTCGGGGGTCGCCACTGCAGTGTTTTTTCGCGGCTGACTTTGTAATTCGTTCGTTTTATTCTCGTTGTCATTTCGCTGCGTCGCTGGACGACAGAAAAAAAATTGCGAGAAGGATCGACGTGCACCCGGTGCACCATCAACGCCTGATTGAAGTGGATCGCAAGCTGTGGGATCAGTCTGGTATAGGGTTGTTTGGTCGGCATGACCAAGTGGCTGTGGTGCAGCAGGTGTACAGTAATACCCTTACACATCGGACAAAACTTATAGCAAGGATCGCTTGATGCACTCCGCCCTAATCGCAACCACACATCTCAAGAAGTGGTTACTGTGCCTAGTTCGTTCGCGTCCAGATGGTCACTCATTCGTTGTGTTGCCAGGAAACTTGTGATTCCGCGAATAGGAGGTGAGGGTCGACGTGGATGTTGCTGTCTTCGGCAAAATTGGACCAGGTGTACAGTGAGGAAGAAATGGCAACATGCCCAACCAGGCCATGTGCTGTTCAATTCCGCCACTTTCGAACTTTGTCGCAACATGAATAACGACAAATGTTCCAGCTGTGCACGGCAGGAGTCGCTCACTACCTCCACCGTCATGTGGGGTGTACTTACGGAATCAACGTCTGACCCTCGCTTTATGGTGATAAATTCAATGACAAATTAGCAACTGATCTAGTACACAGCAACTAGATATGAATTCACATTTGTTGCATTTATTTGGAAAACCACAATTATCAACTATGTCATTCACAGCTGCACAAGCCACAGTTGGTGCTAAGAGTTGGTAAGCTTCCTTCATGGTGTACATGTTCGAAAAATATGTGCTAAAAATGATGCAAAATATTTTTTGTGAGCCGTTTTAAGAATGACGACAACGACGACAAGGACGACACGGGCGACGACGACGACGACGACAACGACAACAATAGCAACAGCAAGAACAACAATAACAGCCACAACAACAGCAACAACAACAGCAACAACATCTACAACAACATCAACAACAGCCACAACAACCAAAACTACAGCAACAACATCAGCAACAACAGGAGCAGCACCAACAGCAGCACCAGCAGCAGCAGCACCAGCTGTGAAGAAAGGAACGTGAATGAATGACTATGAAATGAAGTGAGTACAAATATGAAACCCTAATTGGGTTGTACCCCCTATGGGATACCCCACTATAGCCTACAGAAATGAGTAAGCTATGATGTTCTGACACCAGCAACAGCATCAGCAGCACCAGCAACAGCAGCAACTGCAACAACGACAACACCGACAACGACGACGACAAGGACGACAAGGGCGAAGACGACGACGACGACGACAACGACAACAATAGCAACAGCAAGAACAACAATAGCAGCCACAACAACAGCAACAACAACAACAGCAACAACATCTACAACAACATCAACAACAACCACACCAACCATAACTACAGCAACAACATCATCAACAACAGCAGCAGCACCAGCAGCAGCACCAGCAGCAGCACCACCAGCAGTAGCAGCAACAACAACAGCTGCACCAACGACAACACCGACAACGACGACGACAAGGACGACAAGGGCGACGACGACGACGACAACGACAACAATAGCAACAGCAAGAACAACAATAACATCCACAACAACAGCAACAACATCCACAACAACATCAACAACGGCCACAACAAGGACAACTACAGCAACAACATCAACAACAGCAGCAGCAGCAGCAGCAGCAGCAGCAACAACAACTGTGCCAACGACAACACCGACAACAACGACGGCAACGACGACAAGGACGACAAGGACAACAATAACAACAACAGCAGCAACAGCAGCAGCAGCAGCAGCAGCAGCAACATCAACAGCAGCAAGAGCACCAACGGCACGAATGGCAACGACGACGACAAGAACGACAAGGACGACAAGGGCAACTACGACGGCAACGACGACGACGACGACAACGACAACAATAGCAACAGCAAGAACAACAATAACATCCACAACAACACCAACAACATCCACAACAACATCAACAACGGCCACAACAACCACAACTACAGCAACAACAACAACAACAACTATGACAGGGAGCAGATATGCATCATGGGCCATGCCCAGGGATTTCCAGGGCGGTTCGAGGGGGGCTGTGAGGGGCTGTGAGGAGAATTGGGGGGTAGGGGGGCCTTAGGGGGGCCTTGGGGGGGCTGTGGGGGGGTTTTTTCAGGATTTTAGGGGGCTTTTCCCCTCTCTTGTACCCCATCTCTGCTTGTTAATCAATCACAAGCAAGCTTTCTGCCATCACCCTTCCGATTACGCTCATGTTTTCGCCTTGCCGCCTGAGGGAGGGGGATCTAGATGATCCAGGTGGTCCGGGGCCGTCCTCCTGAACTACGTATGTCAAGATGTTGACCAGAGTGGGAGCCAGGGCAGTGTATGTAAGGGGTGGTGTATGTAGGGGTGGGCAGGGCAGGTGCAAACGTAGGGGATAATGAGTGACAGAAACTGAAGGGAGAGTGAAAATTGAATCAAACAGGGGGAGAAAGAAGAAAACTGGCACAAGTTCACTACAGGTAGGCAGGATAAGTGACCAGCACAGGGGGGTGAAGTGACAAGGGCAGGGGGGTGAAGTGATGAGACCTGCTTTCCAAGGTCAAAACAAGGGCCCATTGCTGACCTTCTAACACTCACCGACACGGCATGCCTCATGCGCCGACCTGTTGTGTGAAACCTGCCCCATCCTCACACCACACATCAAATCAAGCACTAGACCAACACCCCCATGCCCTCTCACACACCTCCTCTGCAGCAGGGCTACTGGCGTCACTACCCACCAGCAGCACAAGCAGCATGTTCAGGAGTCATCTCAAACCATGACTCAACACCAGACCAACACCCTCATGACCTGTCACCTCACTCACTTCCCCTGCTGCACGGCTGCTGGCGTCACTCCCCACCACCAGCACCAGCACCAGCATCAGCAGCAGCAGCATATCCAAGCACATGTGAGTGATTCGACTCAAAGCACACCTCGACCACCACACTGGCACGCCCCATGCCCTGTCACCTCACCCATGTGCTCTACAGCAGGGCTACTGGCGTCACGCCCCACCACCAGCACCAGGCTATCAGCAGCGAGTCCAGCACCCACACACCCCGTGCCCTGCTCTGCTGCACCACTCACCTGCTCTGCTGCACCACTCACCTGCTCTGCTGCACTACTCACCTGCACTGCTGCACCACTCACCTGCTCTGCTGCACCACTCACCTGCTCTGCCGCACCACTCACCTGCTCTGCTGCACGACTCACCTGCTCTGCTGCACCACTCACCTGCTCTGCTGCACCACTCACCTGCTCTGCTGCACCACTCACCTGCTCTGCTGCACCACTCACGTGCTCTGCCGCACCACTCACCTGCTCTGCTGCACCACTCACCTGCTCTGCTGCACCACTCACCTGCTCCGCTTCCCAGCAGGAGCAGCTGCCGGGCTGGGGGAACACGGCCACATTGCTGCCCACCCACATAGCTCTGACGCATGGTGTTTTTGAGAATTCTCAAAAACACCCTGCAACATCAGGAGCAGCTGCCGGGGGAGCCTGGCCACCTTGCTGCCCACCCACATAGTTCTGACGCATGGACCGGGTACGAAGCAATATAGATATGTGACCGAAGTGTCAGGGTGTAAACACATAGATGTATAAATATAAATATGTATATAGATAGATTTATGTATGCATGTATATACATACACTCATACACTCAATGCAGACACACGCCTTCACACACGCGTTCGCATGAGCCCATGCTTCATACACTTGATGCATGACCGAGACACTCAGAGCTTCATACCAGACTTCGCATGGTCGTACTAAGCAAGCACCTGAGAGACATTGGAGAGACACCTGGGATGGGCACCTGAGAGGGGAACCTGAGAGACACCTGAGAGGGGCAGCTGAAAGGGACAGCTGAGAGAAGCCTGAGAGGGACCCCCTGAGAAAATACCTGAGAGGGGCGCCTGAGAGACACCTGAGATGGGCGCCTGAGAAACACCTGAGTGGGGTACCTGAAAGGGGCACCCGAGATGGACACCTGAGATGGGCACCTGAGAGACACCTGAGAGGGTAACCTGAGAGTCACTTGAGAGGGGCGTCTGAGAGACACCTGAGCGGGACTCTCGGCCACCGGCGGTTGCTTTGGCTACCGTAGGGTTACCCTACGTAACGTAAAAACGCTGCTTTGCATTGCCTACGCCGGGGTAGAGTAACGACGTCGGTATCGTTTGCTATC